CGCATCGGCTACCACTTCCTTAATACAACTTCCTGGGAGAACATCATGGAACTGATTGAGTAAAAAACGTTGCCACTGCGATGTGAGAGATTTGCTCTCATTAAATTCAAGAAGTGACATCGACTAAAGAAAAAAAAAAGGTTAACATAACTTACTACAACTATTTAGATTAAGAAATATATGAAACAAATTGCTCCACATTTGAGAGTAACAAATGTTGCCACCCAAATCTGTGATTCTTAGAATGCTTCTATTGTTAGCATTAGTCTCAACGCTACTATTTTGTTTCTTACTAAAGAAATTAAAAAATACGCTACAGTCTCCCAAGGTGCCATATCAGTAAATTAGCTCATAATTCATTTCATAATTGGAAAAAAAAAATTTATATCTACATCTGGCACCTGAAGAAATTCATGATCTTTTAAAATGCTTTCTAGCAGCCTGTTCATCTTCTTGATCCTGGCTTGTGTAGTATATGTTGCGTTATGCAGTTCCAAGTATAATTCGCCTTTCCAACTACATAAATTATCCAAATCTTTCACCAGCTAAAAAGAAAAAAATGATCAGAAATAGAAATTATGATCTATAAAACAAGCAAAAATTTACACATTTTGAGAACCTCAATGAAGAATTCCTGAGGTGTTGCATGCTGTACTCGAGGTACTCCATCACAATCTGCTAAACGTTCAGCTCTTTTCAACATATCTTCATTCGGACCTCCACCACCATCCCCAAATCCGTACAGCATCATTGCTATATTGGAACGCCCGTGGTCTGCAAAATTATGTCGAGAATCCAAACATTCTTTCACTGTAATCTGAAAACAGTTTCATATAATCAGAGATATAAGACACTACCACTTATTCTGACGCTTCCAAACCAATACTTATATTTATAATTATGTGTTTTAGAAATATAATCATGATATGAAATGAATTTACTTGTGATACGTAATGATTTGGAGGGAAATGAGCGATTACGTATGTACCATCTATCCCAATCCAACGAAATGAATGATGCGGGAATTTGTTGACTATTGACCAGCTCATTTTTTGAGTGACAAAATACTGCATTCCACAGTGTTGCATTATTTGCGGAAGCTGTGCAGAATAACCAAATGTATCGGGCAACCAAAATATTTCTGAGAAACTAAAAATTTCAATTTATTAGCAAGAAGAAATAAGACCAAAACACAGGCATTATTAATATGAATATGAACTTTCATCTCTTTATTATTCAATGTCACATCGTCTTATTCTTTGCTTGAAACTTAATCTCTGGCCATATTTGAAAGCACAGCAATGTATAATTAAGAAAGCACAACTTACACACCGCAAAACTTCTTGAATTCTCGTTGTCCATATAATAACTGCCTAATCATACTCTCACCACTAGGCAAATTTCCGTCCATTTCAACCCAAGCTCCTCCAACTGCAACAAATCGCCCGTCTGCTGCGAAATCTTGCATATTTTCATAAAGAGTTGGATAAGACTCTTTCAACCATACTAACTACAAATATTCTAGATTAATTATTCCACTTTCATTTTGTTGTGAAGTTTGCAGAACCCAAACCATAATAAATCCTTACTTGTTGCGCTTGTGAAACTACAAATTTCATCTTCTTGTATTTCTCCATTAAACGCAGAGTTGCAGACCAACTTCGAGCACATTTTCTCCGTGTTTCTCGGTACCTAAATGCAAGACAAGAGATTTAAAAAAAAATTATATGAAGGGAGAAAAAAAAATTACCGCCATAACCACGCAGTATCAATGTGACAATTGCCCACTGCATACAGCGCCATCTGACTTCCACCATTTGGTTGACGAAAAAATTTTTCAGCTTGTAAATGACATTCCATTTGTGCATCCAGTGAAAAGTCTGATAAAACAAGGCAATTAATCTGAAACATTAAATAAGAAGTGACTAAATTTCACATCTCAAAAGGAGGTATAACTAGCAAATGCATTACCATATCATTAGCCACATACAAGGCCTGATATCGTCTTGCTCCTTCTTTTGGTAATATTTTTGACATCTCCAACAGAAGTTCAAAGTCGATGATAAGATCGTGAATTGTTGCACGGTATTCTGCTAATTCACAACGTTTCAGCTATAATAGTCCTTCTGTTTATGATTTTCTTCGAGTGATGTTTTTTTGCCGGCCATAAGAAGCATTTTAAATAATATATATGGGACCGATTAGTACTTCGAATAATTTATCCATCTTCACAGGTCCTATTGCATTACCATCACCATCACCAAATCGATCGCTACATGATGCCTCGACATAAAATCTTTGTGTGGTCGGAGAAATAGAGATTGCAAGATCTGTACGTCCAAAATCCGGTGACAAACCTGAAAGTAGAAAGGTTATAAAATACTTTAACTAAATTCTGTTACGAATTATTAAGTTTAATTTAGTATAATTGGCAAAAAACAGTTAAAAAACTAAAGAAGTTAGTTTATCCAGGATTTCAGTGACCTATAAAGCGTGCGAAGTCTGAAGTACTCTGTCACATAACATCTCGGGTAATTAAACATGAATTATGGATCATTATAGGTCGTGCACTATCAAACCAAAACTAGTAGGCCAGAATTAAACTAACACCTTTTATTGGTTGACCATCTGCGGACCACAGAAGCGCTTCGCAATTAGGATCAAAGCGTAATACAATTTTCGTTTCACTCGTATAATTTTCGGGTAGAGTGATATCAACTTGAAACCAATGCGTTGTCCAAGTTGGACCAAACTTGAATCCCACATTTACTTCTATACCTGAAATGTAATTTTTAACTTAAATCAACTTATCCAAAAGTCAGCGATATTTCCAGTGTATGCTAACAATTTTGAAGCTAAAACATCGAAGAATGAACTCACAAGGATAAGAGAACATTATTAAGTTGAGTGTAATAAAACAAAGCACCAAGTTACATTTGATTTTACTTGAAAATCAAAACCAAATGATGGAACCAAATCTCAAATACATGAAATGAATAAGATAAAATAATTATTTGAAGATATCTAAATAAAAACATCTATAAATAAATCTGGAGACCTTCAAATAAAGTATTAAAACTAATATACATTATAAACACGTGAATTAAGCTGCAAAAATGAAACAGTAACCAACATTAACTGTTATCGCAATAGCTACCTCGAATGGAAAGAGCTTCGACAGCTTCATGAAATGTTACAATATCGGGACCAAAATCATAGTGTTTCACATGGATCGGATATGACTGCCCATAAAGACGACCACGTAAGTTGCAATCTTTGAAGTGATGTTCGGAGATGAATTTCTCCACTCGTTCAACGGTTGTACGCTCATTTTTGAACAATGCAGCTTTGTAAGTAAGTGTTTCATTCATTGTTGTGTCTCCTGAAATAATCAGGACTACGATTAAATACGGTGATAACCAGCACTGATCTAGATTAATATACCGAATATGGCTTATTTCAAAGAAAAGAGCTCACTCTGTAATATATGTGTTCTATTGCTTTTCTCCCACCAATCCTTACTATCAAAAATGAAATGAATAATTCCACGAAATATTATCATAACCACAACGATAATAAATAATTGAAATCATAATCATAACGATAATAAATGACTGAAATCATAATCACAACCATAATAAATGATTCCGAGAAATCTCCCTAATGAATCCCCGAATAGAAGAAAGTATACCCACCCTTGCTGACAGTAACAAACTTTCTCATTATTATCTTCTAATGGCTCGGGGTATTTAGCTAATTTTACAATCCATTGAAATTTATTATTCTCTGCCCTCTCTAATTTAACCGCATTCTTTCTTTACTTGCATCGTCTGCAACTACGAACGAACACCGTCTCTCTCTGTCCACATCACTACCTTAGCTGATCATAGTATTATTTCAGGAATTTTTAATTAGTTTACGAGAAATTAAAAATCCTTCAAATGAAACTTAAATCTCAATTTAAGAAATTTCATCGTGTTATGGCAAGCAAAGCAGTCAGTAGCACTATGTCAATATTTTAATTTTACTTAAAATTTCCTTTTTAATGCACAAATGATATTGTCGCTAATTCTGTTAAAACGTGATTAAAATAATCATCAACGAGATCGTAATCATAAGCATAATCATGATCATAATCATAGTCATAATCATAATCATAATCACCATTACAATCATAACCACGATTACAGCCATAGTCATAATTTTAATTATAATCAGAATCATAATCACAATCATATCACATATGACATTGATACAACCTTGTCTGTTACTCAGAATCTTTTACAATCATCTCATACTTCTCATTTAGTTTATTTAGGAATATTCATCCATGTTAGAGCTAGAAAGTTGAAATGTAAATTTCTAATGGAATTTCATTATTCTAATTGATTCACTTATTTAAGTTGTCTCTTAGTTGTGTTTTGTTAATTTATTAATTGAATCCACGATTATTCCGTCTTTTGTTTCTTTTTTCTTTTGCATTAATTATGCATATATAAAACGAAGAGAAATAAATTAATGTTATATACCATAGTATTATGAAATGTTAAACTATACTTAGCATTTCATTGTAAATACGTCATTATGTAGCAAAATTCTAGTAAACAAAGTTTTCATTCTTCATTTGTAAACAATCAGATGCATTGAACAATAATTGGAAAAAATAAATTCGATTAAAAATTGAATAGTTTCAGCAATAAAATTATAAACAAATTCGCTTGCATAAATATGCTTATGGCTAAAATTATGTAAACAAAAGTAATCAAAAAGGTGCCTTGTCGAGTGATGAATAAAACCTGAATTTGGGTCATGCAGTACTGGTTATGGACCCACTCCAATGGTACTTTAAGATAGTTCAATTCAAGAATACTAGTAATTATGTAAGTGAGCTATTGCAAACAAATTGATTACTACTTTTTACTTCCTAAAACGACTCTTCTGCTTTTCCTCCTATTTTGCATTGTAAAATTTGCCTGACCGTCAATTTTATGCAAAAAAAAATGAACGAAAAAGGACAGAGATCCTTTTCACAGAAGAAACGATGTATATGGGCGCCACTCGAAAAACCGCTTACGGATGTATTACAGAAATACTGCCGTTTTGTTGCCAGGTTCAGTACTTCCGGTTATCAATTCAAAATCAGCAATAAGATAAGCGAAATTTGATATGAATTTGAAATCCAAATTAAAATCAGTTCAACTGCTCTTAAGGACTCATTTCATTAAATTCATTTCTTATTTCCAGTTATAAAGATGAGTACAAGGCATTTTTATTTATCAATCTTCTCTTAACTCAATTAGTTAAAAATAACTTAAAGAAGTTGTCTTAGTTCATTGTTTGCGAGTAAAAGATTACAGTTATCCGGTATCATTTATTATCATCTCAGTACTGACAACCTGCATACTTTCCTCCGGTATTTTTCTCAAATTTGAAATTGTCAGAGGAGTACATTATTTATACACACCGCTACGAGCTCAATGGAAGTTGGAAAATCAAGTATTCCAGGATAGCTGGGCCAGCAAAGATCATCGGTTTTATCCCGGTATTTGCGTATTTGCATTATGCTATTAAGCTACCATTATGATAAAGATGAGTTGTTTAAAATTGATGAAAAGATTTAGAAAAAATTTCTCATTTAATTAAATTCAAATTAGATAGTATTTTAGGTAAAGATATATTCCGCAGAAAAAGCATTTATCTTCTTATCCTTGCCAAAGATAGTGGTAACATCTTGCGAATGCCTCATACTGGTGAATTCTTGATGCTTCTCGATTGGGTTACTAATGAAACATTCACTACTGTTGATGGGCTACAGTACACATACCGTAATATATGTTTGCACTACCATAACGATTGCTTTGAACAAGCGCATGCTCGTTTTATCGCCGATATATTTCATCGTGGTGACCAGGTTGGTGCATGCACCGAAATGTGGCATTTCATAAATATGCAAATAAACATAAATCAATCGATAAATAGAGAAGCGATATTTAGAATGAAATAAAAAATGAATTAAATAATATAGAAATAAACGATTAGATAAGTTAATATGTGAAAGTAAATGCATGAATTAATGAACAAATTGAATAAAATTGTATCCTTTTGTAGGGTCATTTTAATGTGACCTATCCATTATTCAAGTCACAATTTTCAACCGAGGCAACTGATCTATCGCAAACACTTGGAGGAGTACAGATGAATTCCAAACAACAAATTCAAACAGCCAAAGCATGGATGGTTCTTTATCAATTGCAGCAAAACTCTGAACTTAATCAGAAACTGAGCTTGTTAGTGCCTGAGTAATTTTAAATAATTAACTAAAATTCAACACTGATTCCCTTTCTATTTATTATTATCAGATAGTCAATTTGAAGCATGAAAAGAAAGCATAAATAGTTTTAAAATTATCCATTAGATAAATATCATCGCATTTCCAGGGATTATGAAAATTCATTAAGTAATCGAATTGAAGAGAAAAATATTCCGTTTAAATTACTCAGTTTATATGCTTTTCATTCGGATATTTTTGAAATGGAACTTATCAAAAGCAGTGTTCTCATTGCACCAAAGTAATCATTCATAATTAATATTTTAATTTCAGATTAATCAAAAATCATAAGACAGATTTTTCTTAGATTAAATGAAACATGAAACTAAATGAAGAAATTTTACAATTTTAATGCAGATTTTAGAAAAAAGACTAATTCAGAAAATTAAAAATTAAAAATGCATTTAGATTTGCTTATACCTTTCTACTGCTACTAATTTTTTCAATATTATGCACCTTCAATATAATCATTTTCTCAATTCCGAATTGTTCAAAATTATCATTTGCTATCGATTGGCTTAAATCTAAACCATTTCTCGGATTTATCGGTGTAATCATTAGCCTTATGGCTGTCATATCAGCAATTGGTCTATTGCTGCTGTTCAACGTCCCATTCGTTGATATTGTGATAATTATGCCATTTCTTAGCCTCAGTAAATTATTTCTTACTTGTCTGTGATTTTAATTTACCACTTAATTAGTTCAAATTTCACTGAAGCCATGATAGAAAACAGTAGTTACATATGACATGATGAATTTTTGAGATTTCATTATTGAAATCGCCTCTCTTATTGTTAAAGCACCGATAAAAAAGTGCCTAATTAAATTTACTGGAGGTAAACCAAAGTCTTTTAGAGCAATAGAAGTAGTACGATTACAGCGAGATATAAGGCTTACTCTAGTTAGTTAATATTGCATAATAATTTTAATAATCTAGTAAAAAACTTGATTTTTTTCACTTTTCTTTACAGTAAAATAGGCGTCATATGTACAGAACAAATAAAAGGAACTAAAAAAAAATTCAAAGAAAGATTTCGATTGATTTTGGGAATGTTTCTTTCGTGATGATAATATCATAACTTAATGCTTTATTTATTAAATATAACTTTTTTTTTTCTTACTCAGGCAATAACTTCCAGATTACGTAGATTCATTTCGATTAGCATTTGTGAAGATTTATAATTAGGTTTAGTTAGAAATGTAAAAATTATAAAAGTAAAAAAGAAAAGATTGGTATACAGCAGTTGGTATCGACGATACATTTTTGATGTTAGCTGCTTGGCACGAAACAAATTCAAATTTGTCCGTTGAGGAACGGATCAAAGTATCCATGCAACATGCAGCTGTATCAATCGCTATAACATCGGTTACCGATATTACAGCTTTTCTTATTGGTTCTATTACGCCATTACCAGCTGTAAGTTTTCATTTGTGAAAAATAAATTTAAATAAGTAGAAGAGTATTTAAATAAGAAAATATAAAAGAGTATATCCCAGAATAGTGAAAAGAAGAAGAAATAAATAATGCTAAAATTTCAAATCTGAAATCAAAATTTACAATCTCTATATGTTTAGACTTCACATGTAGGAAAGTTAGTTAATCAGTTACTAAACTAGTTAATTGATTATAATGACAATCATTATAGTCATAATCATTTAAACTTTGAATAGTTGAATGAAAATGTAATATATCAAGGATGAAAGAAATTTCATTTCAAAATTAAAATGAGTACTTTTTTAGGTAATCTATTTCTGCTACTATTCTGCTGCAGCAATAGCTTTCAATTTTTGTTATTCTTTAAGCGCTTTTGTCGCATTTTTGGCGATTTTTGGACGACTGGAAGAAGCATGTCGGAACAATTTGTTTTATGTTAAAACAACTCCTTTAAACGAATACGGTTTTTTTTTATATTGTCTTTTCTTAAATCATTGATCTATTTCTGTTTATGTTATATATATTTATATTTCTTAAATCATTAAAGCTTCCATTTTTTCTGCAAGTTTTAATAAGTGAATAATATGAAGCGTAATGTATGTTAAAATTTCAGTTCACAATATGACAGTTTGTCTATCATTTATCAGACAAATTTAACAGTTAGCTTCAATTTGCATTAATCAGTTAAAAACTTTTTCAATTTTCAATAACTTCAGCAACTGCTACGAGACTGCAGAAAATCTTCAATATGACTGGATCTAAATGTGGAAATAATTCTAAGAAAGTATGCAGTAATGCTGAGGTCATAAGTTGCTATTCAAGATAATGTCATATTTAAAATTTTAAAAAGATTTTAGTAATCTCCTGGCTAGCATCTGGGCTTTAGTGTACTAAGAGCAGTGATTTCAAACTCATATATCCTAGGCTGAAATTTCTCCACTTAAAATTTTTTTTTTCATCTGCGGTCCCTGAAAGTTATGGATTTTTTCATCCTAATATTCCATGCGAATGCATAACGTTCATCTGTATTTAGCAGAATCAGTAATGAAATTTATTTAATAACAATTTACATAATAAGTATTTAACAAGGTTAGGCCTAAAAATTAATTGATCATAGCTTAGTTTCTGCTTGATTAGTTTAATTCGCAAATAACTATTTTTAAAGTTATTATATATTTTACATGAAATATAATGGCTGTTGATAACTCTCATGATTTTCGATTTTATAACTCAAAGTTGAAGTTTCTATGAAATTATATTACTGAAGTAGCTGACAGGAAAGAAATTTTGCAAATGATTCTAACTTAGTCCATCAGTAAAATTCCACATTTTCAATTCAAAAATTGTTAGTTTATTTTATCAGATGAAATCGTGCAACACTGAACTTGGATACCGTCAATTCATCAGAAATTATTATGCGCCATTTCTTGCATGCAGGACAATTCGAATTATTGCATTTATTTTGTTTATTATTTATTTTCTCATAGCAATAATTGGGATTAAAAAGTTGAAAGTTGGATTTGATGTAAGATTTGATTAAAAGCTATTCGGATTTTGATGAAATGTTTATGCAAAGAATGAATGTTTAAAATTTTTGATAAAATTTTAAATTCACAAAAATATTACAAATGATTTAGCATAAGAGAATAAGTTTCATTGTTAAATTATTTCTGTCTTGTGCTCTAGATATGGTCAAAAGAATGACTACAACAAACAAAACATTATCATTTTATATTTATTTCATGTTATAAAAATAGCATTTAGAATTCAATCAATAGGCAAGTTATCTTTCACGAAAATTAAAAACGATCAAATTTCAGGTAACCAATCTTCTTAGAGCTAATTCATCAGCCAAAAAATTTCTGGAGCTACGAGCAGAATTTTTCAATTACAAAATGCCGGCAGTTGAAATAGCAGTAATGAAACCGCCCGATATGTCACAAAAAAGTGACAGGATTAGATTTTTGAAAGTTGTGGAAGAATTTGAAAATACCACTTGCAGTAGTGGAAGGCATACAACAGAATTTTGGTATTTTGCTTACAAAGATTTTATCAATGATCTTGGATTTGGTGCTCAGTCTTGGGATGTTTTACAAAATAATAAAGAGGTTGACATTTGCATATTAGAAATAAATGCTCCTTTTTTTTTTTAAAATTTAACAATATAATCGTCTAACAAATTTTGGACGCTATTAAAATTTAGTTAGAGTAAAAGTAGGAATATGTTATAATACAATAAATATTTAAGTTGTCTTTAGAACCAAAGTATAAAATTTGAAAATGAAACTTTCAATTTGCAACTGCCAACTTTTAAACTTTAAAAATTGAACAACTAATCCAAAAATTTTTCCATTCTAAAATTTCAATAATCAAAAATATAACTGCTAATATTATCATAATGAATTTATATAGGAATTCGAGAAAAATTTACAGCCATTTTTATTGGCTAGTGATAAATATCGTTATGATATTTTATTGCGTGACAATGGAACCATACAAGCATTTCGAATGTCCACTCAAATTGTTGACATACCGAAATATTCTTCACAGTTAGTTATGCAATGCGCTGAACAGATGAGGTAATTAAGTTTCATCACCTTTGGCCATTTCATTTTTAATAGTACTTTTTGTTTTGATGATATTAATATTTAACACTTTTCTATTTAGGAAGATTTTAGATATTTTAAAGTGATTTTTTTTCGTAAAGTAAAAAGTTTTTTGTAGTAAGCTAATTACACCTTAATTTTCATATTTTGATTTTCTTTTCTGTAAAGGCAATAAGTAATACTACATTTTAATGATCCTTAGGAATTCTTAGAATACTATCACTTAATTAAAATTTATATCCATTCAGAAGCATAGCAAAGCGATACGAAACACAATATAATATTACAACATATTCTCTTTTATGGCAATTAGCTGATCAATTGAACGTAATTTGGCCTCAAACGTTGCAGGATTTATTCATTTCTGTTGGTATGACTAAAAAATGGAAAAAAAAAACCTTTTTTTTGTTTTCAAATTGCAAATGTATTCGTTGAATTAAATTAAATAAGTGAATTTTTGTTCTCAAATCCAAAAAAAAAGAACAAAACATTAAATAATAATATTATATTACAGCATTTTTAGATATAGATAATAGGAATAATAAAATAAAAATTAGATTAGATAATAAAATAAAAGATAACGAAATAGTAATGAAGGCAAGTCCTCCTCTTAATGATGACTAAAGTAATAATAGAAATTAAAATCTTTTAACTTATAAATAAGCAACAATTGAGTTCAACTTATTAATTGTTCGTTTTTTTTTTTTCTTTTCTTTTTAAAATACAATCTTGAGATATTAATTTCGACAATAATCACCAAATCATTTACCTGTTTGTTTAATTGTTTATACTTTTGCAATAAACAACTCTTTCAATTTTTTTTCTTTTTAGTGGTTATTATACCAATTTCATTACTGGTAATTCCTCAACCATTTTGCGCTCTTGCAATTGCATTAACAGTAGGATCAATTGCTTTGGGAATAATGGGATTTATGACATTTTGGAATGTCAATTTAGATGCTATTTCAATGATAACAATTGCAATGTCTGTTGGATTTAGCGTTGATTTTGCAATTCATATTACTTATAGTTACATATCACAAACTGATAACCAATCAAACAATAAAAAGTAAGCAATAAAAAAAAATATTGATATAGTTATTTGCTAATCATTGCACATGTGAGAAATATTAATAATAATAATAATAATAATAATAATAATAATAATAATAATAATAATAATAATGATAATAATAATAATGATAATGATAATAATAATAATAATAATAATAATAATAATAATAATAATAATAATAATAATAATAATAATAATAATAATAATAATAATAATAATAATAATAAATTCTATAGTATTCCATATAAGCAATTAAGTGGAACATTAGAAACCGTTGGTTGGCCTATTTTGCAAGCATCGATATCTATTTTACTTGGCATTTTACCATTGGCTACAATAAATTTGTATATTGTGAAAGTATGCTTCAAAACTGTTATGCTAATTATCGTTATCGGTAAGTTAGCTTTTTTTGTTAGAAAGTTTAATATAAATAGTAAGGCATTTTATGAACAAAACCTTTTTGAAATATGATTTAAAAGAAAAATGTCTGTGTGAAATATTCTTGCACTTAAAATCTTTAAGTATTAATTAGTTTATAGTTAGCTCAGAAATTTGATTTGTGAAGTAATCACTAGTATGTGACTTTAGTAGAATTTATTCTTTGTATGTGTTTCAGTTAGATAATTAATTTAGTAAAATGTAATGAAATAATTAAGAAAAAGTCGACAAAAACTTTTCTAATTTTATTTTGGTCTTCAGCTAATTTGAAACGCTAACTTTTCATATTAGCTCCATAATTCTTACTGTTTTAAAAGATCATCCACTATTTTCGAATAAGACTAAAAATTCGTTACTTCTTATAGGTATTATAAATTCTATCTGTTGGATAGCTACTTAAAAATTAATAAATAAAAATTTGTATTTCAAAAGAAAGAATTAAGAAATTAAAAAACAAAAAAAAAAAAAAAACCAAAAAAAAATGCTGCTTAACTTTGATTACACAAATGTTTAGAATTCTCAAGTTTTTTAGTCAAGAATCTCTAAATATTTGTGTTATTAAAAGTTTTATCTCCAGAAATTTCAATTCCTTAATTTATTTGACTAAGTTAATAAGATTTGAACTTTTTGCCAGATGACAGATCAATTAGTTTGTTATAATTCTGATAAATGCTATATTGTTCTTTTCTGTGTATATTATCATTTAAACGATAAAATGTTGGAATATTGGGATGCCTATTCCAGCATTTCATCATTTTCATTAATCGTTTCAAAAGAAATCCACAATTCATTCCTCATTTTCAGGCACTGTGCATGCACTTCTATTTCTACCCTTGTTTCTAATGCAAATTCATGCATTTTATTTGTGGTTTAAGTCATGTCGAACAGTGAAATAATAAAAATTTTATTAACAATTCCATTGTTGCTAATGTATCCATCAAAATGACATATCAGAGAAACAATGTCGAAAAACTTTAACGATAAATCCTAGTGTAATAGCTCACAAACTTATATGGTAAATTCAAAATTATATTCGATTTTTGAAAATTATTGACGGAGTTAAAATAATAATTTAATTTCGAGGTGTTCAAAGATTGCCAGAGAAAGGTTAAAGAAAACTACCGATTAAATCTTTTACTTGAGAACTAGGAATTAAAAAAAATTCTTTGAGTTTTTGTGTTAATTTTTCACAAGATCAATTAGTTGAAGACAAGCAAAGATAGGAGACGGATTTATTGTGCTAAATAAAAATGCCTTGTACTCATCTTTATAACTGGAAATAAGAAATGAATTTAATGAAATGAGTCCTTAAGAGCAGTTGAACTGATTTTAATTTGGATTTCAAATTCATATCAAATTTCGCTTATCTTATTGCTGATTTTGAATTGATAACCGGAAGTACTGAACCTGGCAACAAAACGGCAGTATTTCTGTAATACATCCGTAAGCGGTTTTTCGAGTGGCGCCCATATACATCGTTTCTTCTGTGAAAAGGATCTCTGTCCTTTTTCGTTCATTTTTTTTTGCATAAAATTGACGGTCAGGCAAATTTTACAATGCAAAATAGGAGGAAAAGCAGAAGAGTCGTTTTAGGAAGTAAAAAGTAGTAATCAATTTGTTTGCAATAGCTCACTTACATAATTACTAGTATTCTTGAATTGAACTATCTTAAAGTACCATTGGAGTGGGTCCATAACCAGTACTGCATGACCCAAATTCAGGTTTTATTCATCACTCGACAAGGCACCTTTTTGATTACTTTTGTTTACATAATTTTAGCCATAAGCATATTTATGCAAGCGAATTTGTTTATAATTTTATTGCTGAAACTATTCAATTTTTAATCGAATTTATTTTTTCCAATTATTGTTCAATGCATCTGATTGTTTACAAATGAAGAATGAAAACTTTGTTTACTAGAATTTTGCTACATAATGACGTATTTACAATGAAATGCTAAGTATAGTTTAACATTCCACTGAAGTGAGATTATTGAACAAAACAAACATCCAAAATTACAGAGATTTTTGGGAACAACGGGGTCAAACAATGAACGATGCATGGTTAGCATATGACTGATCAGCAGAAATTTTCAGCTGATCGAAATTTTATTTGTGAAAAAAGCACTTAAAGCTTTTCTGGTATTCTTCTTATGGCCATTTAAATCTTTCAATAAAACATTCAGCAAACATTGAAGTATTTGTAAAAAATTTTTTCAGCCTATTTCTGAACCGGAATTTTTGTCTGTTTCTCCTCTTATATTCTTTTTCCATTTTTAGATACAAAGTAGTACAAAAATCAAAGATAACAATTTTCTTTTTGTTCATGAACCTTCGACAATTGTTACACAAAGTATTTAATGCTAACAGATTTTAACGATTCATACATCTTTCCGTAACTTTGTTGATTTGTGCTTACTTCTGAAATCAAGTGAGAAATATGTGGAAATTTCTGACAATTATTTTATTTATGCAAATTGCTTTTAGCTCTGTTTCAACAAGTGGTATGTCTTTGACTTATTTTTATGAACAAGCAGAAACTTCCATATCTTCAGATTCTTTCCTCATTTAGCGATCGGAAATGACTAATTATTAATTAGCATACAATTTCTCAGGAATTTCACAGAGAACCAGTGAATTATTTTATTTGAAGAGTTGGTTCAAAATTTCTATATTTTGCTAATTGAATCATTGTAAGCCAAAAATTAACAATAAATAGTGCTTAAGTAATTATTACTTATCTGTTTAGCTATTTCACTTCATGCAAAACTGTGCATTTTTAACATTTGTGAAACGCTTGTTGTTTCATACTTTCAAAAAAAAAGACCCTGTTGAACCTAGCAAAAAATTAGTTTAATTTTTCTTATGTAGACACTCCATGGCTCTATAAAATTTTATTTACATATAGTTGAATTAAGTAATGTAATCAGTGCTAAGTTTTTGAATGAAGAGTAAGCAATTCATATTGCATTGTTCTTTCTGCCTTTTTTAAAAATTACTTAAATAACTAACTAATCTTTTTTTTTTTTATAGAAAAAATATTTGAAAAAATTTGTTTGAAAAAAAAACTTTTTGAAAATGTTAGACCTGACAACCTAAAATTGACTAAATACTTTTCAGACTTTCAAATGGGAAAATTTTCACATATAAACATGATAACTGTTAAAATTTTTGAAAATTAAAAAAAAATGATGCATTTTTGGATATTCCAGACATAATGTATGCTAAAGATCCGATCTTCACGATGCACTTATCACCACCAATTCAATGGACTTATCATGGTGAAGAAGCGCATGATAATCCTATGACAGAATTAAAGGGCATTGAAGATATTACTAAAGATATAAAAATTGAAACATAATTCTGCTAATCATTTATTTTGTTAATTTCGCATCATTTTTTGGCAACACTAGACAAATTTCAATTCTAAAATGATATTTGTTAATTTGTTCATTTTATTTTAATATATTATTTTAATTCTAATATATATAACATAAATTGTGTAATTTAAAATTACCTTCGTTCGATTACTTATATACCAAACGTTTCTTTCCTTTTTTTTCTCATATATTATTTGTATTTTGTTCCTTATGTTACATTAATTTGACGAAATATGGAATCAAAGTAACTCATACAAAATTCATCGCAATTTTTTTTCTTCACACGTTAGAACAGATCATGCTATTCTTCTAAAAAAGCTAGGTTTATGGAGTAAAAGGTAGAATTTGCGGTGCAAAGTTTTTCAATATAAAATTTCCGCATAACTTAAATTTTTCAGTTGAATACGAAATAATCAATGAGAATGCACGAGGAACAATGTACAGATAAGTGATAAAATGATAAAATTAGAACTTTTATAACTTTTTGCAAAACATTTCATGCGATTAACTAAGGGAGTTAAAAGGAGTAAAGGTATACTGGGTTAAATGAGATACTAGGCCTGGCCTGGACGGCTTCAGTTGAAAGAGACTAGCCTAAGTCTAACTTAGTAGATTAGGCTTTATAACGATAGACTGGAAAAGATTCGTGCCAACACGTACCGAATTACATTTACATGTATAGCAATGAAACAATAAGCATATGACGGTTACTGCAGCAAAATCTCATTCTCGAGAGTCCAAGATTTGTGTCATTTCTACTGCTACGAAATCTCGGATCCAATTGGTTAGATGTTATCGAATAAATAAATACATAGAAGTAATCTATTTCAAAAAGATGGGTGATGATAGGGAGGTAAGGGGAAAGGAAATGAAATGAAGTACTGTTCACGGCCGGTGTATATTTTCTCGTTGTCTGACAATTCTAATCCGAATTAATGACCAGTTTTTCCCGTTATGCAGGACTGTTTGTTCCAGTGCTTAAAAAAGAGCAGTCGTTCAATTCATTGCAGTTTTCTTAGCTTATCGTTGTTGATAAAGTAATTTTAGATGTCAAAAGTGATACGAAATTTATGGTTATTAATCGGTAATTCAACCAGAATTTTGTCGAGTTTTTGGGGTTTCCAACGATGTAACTTTGCTTGTAAGTACAAAATAATTCTTTCAAGAGTAACTTTTATAAAAAAATGCTATCATTAATTTTTTTGATTTTTCGTTTCGTCTATATCTGACGCCTCCGTTTGTACCCATTGGAATTATGCATTGCAGCTGCGGTACCCATGATCAAAACCGAAAGGGTCGGTGAAAAAATGAATGTTGGTTTAATTAAGCTTAATAGACCTAAAGCATTAAATGCATTATGCAATCAGCTTATGCAAGAGGTAAGTTCACCGATGAATTAGTTTGTTCGGAAGAAAAAGAAAAAATTATTTAAGAAAAGTGTGCTTTGAATGTTTGGATTAACGGAACTTGTAAGAAAATGGTGTCGGAGGAGAGAGATGAAAAAACATTTAAGAAATCTAAAAAAAAAAAAAAAAAAGATGTGTATTATGCAATATTGAAATAGAAATTTCTGAATCTTGATCTTACACCTTTCATTTATTTTAAACAAAAGAAAGACTGGGGAGATAAATTCTCGTATTGCAGCTTTCAGATGCACTAGTTGAATTTGACGGTGATACTTCAATTGGAGCGGTGGTAATAACAGGTGATAAACGTGTATTCTCAAGTTAGATATACTTTTTTTTCTTGTCTTCACTTTTTATTATTCATGAATAGTTTTGAAGGAGATTACTGGATTGATATATTTTATAGAGCATTCAAATCGTTTCGGATTTAAGTGAAAAATTTTCATGATTTAGTTAATTTCGCTCTTACAGAATCAGGCGTAGTGGTGGAACTGTACTGTCATTATTTATTATATAGGTTCTTTTCACTTCTAAATATATAAAAAAAAACGAAGAAAATCTAATTCTGTTTTTTTTTCCTTTTTTTGCAAAACATCTGGTTGTCGTTTATTGAACTTTTAAACTTTTTTAATGTAATGAACTAGTTGTCATTTATTGTTTGAATGTGATGTAGTATGCGCTCTGGAGATTTTATGTGTATCTACATTAGCATGTATGACAGATATTAATTTTGTATGAGTCATTTATTCTTATGTGAGATTGATAAGAGATTTGGAGCTTGAAAAGTGGAATATGTTGTGTAGCATTCTGCTTTTTTCTCTAGAAAGTCAAAGACAGGACAGAAAATGACAACTTGCAGTTGGTGAAATTCTTTTTTCTTTTTCTTTTCCCCATTTTAAAGATGCAACGCATGAAAAGATGTATGTAAAAATATGTAACCGTTTAAATATGCATTTATAAGCATTACAGTGGGAGCCGATATAAAAGAGTTATGTGCTATTCAATATGAAACGAAATCATCTGAAAATATATTGCAAAATTGGACTCAAATATCGAAGATGAAGAAACCAATTATTGCTGCTGTAAACGGTCATGCACTTGGTGGTGGTTGTGAATTAGCTCTGATGTGTGATATAATTTATGCTGGAGAGGAAGCTAAATTTGGTCAACCAGAGGTTATTATCGGGACTATACCAGGTAAAATTTTAGATGATAAAACTGTTGCAGTTTTACTATTCTGTCAATCAGGAGTCAGAAAAACTGGAGCAGATTTAGTGTCTGAATAACTTTCCTTAAGAGTATATGGTACTATATATATGAATGGATTCACATAAGTTACAAAATCTTTGTAGCGGTTAATTCACATAACTTCTGAATTCATGAGCTTGTTCTCTAGACGTAAGTAATATTACTTCAAACTTAGATATGATATAGAAAAATTTTTCCAAATTCCGGATTCAGATACGTTTGAAACTGAGGTAAGGTAATTTTTGATTCCTGTAAAGTGTTTGCTAGTCATTTATAGAATGGAGAAGGTCGAATGCATCTTTCTAATAATTTAAGGAATTAGTTCAAAATTTGTTCGAAATCCTAGCATGTGCAATTTGCAGGTGCTGGTGGTACTCAACGATGGTTGCGTGTTACGGGTAAATCTATGGCAATGGAAGTATGTTTAACAGGAATACCCATAACAGCACAGGAAGCAAAAGAATGTGGTTTAATTTCAAGAATATTTCCTATTGACCGTGTAACTTTTTTTTACACTTCATCTTGATTAGCTGCTTTGTTCAACCTCATACTTTTTACTGATTTCTTAATTTCAGTGCATTCTACATGGATTAAATAAGAATGAATGCATACTTTTAGTTGCTATATATTTTGTTTATTGTAATTCTACAATTACGAAAATTTTATCAAATTAAGTGTTCAGGTTGTATTGGAGGCTATCAAGACAGCCGAAAAAATTAGTGGACATTCACCGCTGATAGTATCATTTGTAAAAGATGCTATTAATAGTTCCTATGAAACTTTCCTTCAGGAAGGCCTTCACTATGAAAGTCGTCTATTTCATACCACTTTTACAACGGTATGTTTCTATTTGATTGTTTTTTTCACCTATATGATTTTCGTCAAACACTGAAAGGATAACTTATCGTACTTATAAACTAATGACTAGTAGTGCGTTTTCAAATTAAATAGCACTTCTATGATATATAATCATTTTCGACATTAATTAACCTTTAACATTCAATGTCGTGAGATGATTTTCGATCTTAATCCAGATTTGATTTTAAAATCATATCGAATTTTGCAGATTTCAAATCACAAAAATTAATTTGTTCGAGATCCAAGTCATTCCAATCTTCATAATGTTCTGTTTTTCAGAATGATCAAAAAGAAGGTATGAAAGCATTTTTGGAAAAACGTAAACCAAAATGGACATGTTCATGATTTGCAGACGTAAGGACATATTTATTAAATTCATATATTGAATATTACATATATGTGAGTAGTCCAATCAAATGCTACAACTGTAGCAAGCTATTTTCGAGTCATAAATTTTTAATTTCTTTAAATGATAATAAATCTGCTCAACCTTTATTATGAACTAACTGTTATGTAATGTAACCGTTAACAAATATTACTGTTATATTTCCTTCTGCTTACTATTGCATTGCGACAGTTTGCGAATTACGATTGTTGACATTTTCACACATCCATGATCCAAGTAATTTAAAGGTGCTTCAAAGTAATTCTGAATTATTTGAATATTGCAGGTAGGACAACATTTTCGTCAAGATAGACAGCATTATGTGTGATCATTATGAAATTACTAATACTATAAATGTATACAATTGTTGGGATTATTTTAAGGAAGAATTCATACTTAGTTGCAGTGATATTTTGCAAAAGATATAAAGTAGATGGATGAACTAAAAAGTGCGTTTCAAGTAGAAAGGGGAGTAGGAATCTTCTGATATGCGATTCACTGCTGTCCTGATGTTCTTGTGAGCCTTCCTAACAAAAGATATTTGAATGTGAAACAAATTCTCAAAATTCATTTCCAAACTGAAAGTAAATATTTCGCGACTCTTCCGCACCATTTCCTGGCTGTACAGAGACGTTTGATTGGAGACTTCATTTTAAACTGAAGTGGTATTTGAAAGAAGTTAAACAAGTTATAAAAAATGCGAGCCGTAAATATGGTAGAAAACCGTACAAAAAATGTAACGCGCCCAGTAGGATCTCATTTTAATAAAAGCATCTTTTTGCAGTTTTAAGCTAGAAAATTCCCTTTTGGAAAATGTGAACTTTTCGTGGTTTTTATTTTCTCATTGATTTTGTTAACCACACAATGGATATAACAATTTAAAAGGTAAAATTATTGTAAAAATATTTGAGGTCAATTGAGATTTGTAGAAAGACATCAATTCAATTCTAGTAACAGTTGGCAGGCGTCAGTCTTGTAAAAGGCAGCACATAATGAGAATTAGCATAATGTGGAATCCACGAATGAGAAAAGTGAATAGCTCATTCAGCTCTAAAATCACTAATTACAAGTGCTCTTTGTAATCACTCATTCTTTGTTATATGTCTTTGTTATATGTTACAAAATAGATGCAAGCAAAAAGCAATTTTGTAAATACTGTTTCATTTATTGAACACTTGCTCAACATCAATTGTTTTGTAATGTTAATTTTTATACAAACAATGATCAGAATTGGCAAAAGAATAGGTGACAGCACTTCTTTTTTCGGTTGAATTTCTGAACTACACGAAAATTGACACAAACTATCGATTTATATCTAAAAAAGGAAAAGGAAGAGAAGTGAGTTCTATCATTTTCCATTTTTGTTTTCGAATGCTAGAGATGTTTTCCAATTTGAATATGTTGCAATTCTTTAGCATCTAATTATCAAAATTGTAATTCTAGATAAATCCAGAAGAATAGACTCTCTCCTTCCCAAGAAAAAAAAAAAAACGATGATTAGACTTAATGATGCACTGAAAAAATCAATAACAGTCGAAAAATTCCCAAATTTATTTTTCCAAAGCTGAATTTTTGCATGTAGGAAAGTGATAGTGCCTTTACCAATAATTTTCTGCTAACCAAAATATTTTTCACTGAACATATTTCATTTTAACATTCTTCATATTTTATATAAGTTTGAGCTGTCGACACGTCATTATAAATTCGGGTCGATGGTTCACTTGCAAATACCCATAAAGACCTGCAAAACCATCATTCTTAATAAAAATAATCAGTAGACATATTAACACGAACACTCCGACTTTCAGTGCATTGCATATATTGAAAAAAGCTCAAAGAAGGAGAGAAAGTATACAGTAGTTCTATTAGTAAAATGGATAACTCAAGTTGTGAATTAGAAATGTTGTAACTGTACTAGAAAGGAACTTAAACTTTACCTTTAAAAACTTCCAAATGGTCCGGTATAGTTTCCATCGCATATGTCGAAATTAATGTTTGAAAATTATTATCCGCCGCATAATTTGTTAGTGCCATTTTTAGAGTAATGCGTTTCGATTTCTCAATAGATTGAAGCTGAGAATGAATGAAAATAGCTGAGAATAAATAAACAAACTTCACTTTAGTTAAGTTCAAACACAAGTTTATAAAACGTGTGATAATGTGAAACTTGAACTCCATTTTATGTATTTTATAGCATATACTATCTTTATTTCTGAATACTCACCAACTTGTTGTAGTCTAGTGCAGATCTTCGCCAACTGGCTATTACCTCGTCATCAGATTGCAACAGCTGTAAAGATTTGTACTATAATTTGTATGAAAAGTTGTAATACATATGTGTATTCAAATTGAAGTAAAATAGAAACTCACATCTTTTATTTTTCCCTCAGATGTATCCACCTCGAACAACAATGAAGCATTCGGCTAAAATGTTATCCACATTATTGGTGATGAGAATTAGACTAATTAAAATTATCAAAAGTATAAAACCTGACAGTGATAGGTATCTAGTAATCTAAAGAACTGCACCCACCAATAGATACCTTTATGCGAAGCTTAGGTTTTGTTTTTGGGATTATCAAGTTACTGCCTGACTGAATAGGGTTATTGTCGACATCAATTGAATGAGTGGTACCAACTAATTCATTTACCTTTTTCGCCTCCTCTTCCTAAAAACGCATTTTGCTCTTGATATGAAAGAGAAAAAAGATTTGATAAGATATATGCAAATTAAAAAAGCATAGTAGTATCAACAACCTAATTAGTGGAGGAAACAAGCACTTGTAGATTATCTTAATGAATGTATTGTCATCATTATACAGAAGACCGAAATTGTTTACGGAATATAATAATCTCACCAGTAAAGAAAACATTACAAAATTACGAATTGAAAGAGATTTCACAAAAAAAAAACTTTAAGAATGAACAAATTATGAAATGAAGGAAGTAAAACATACTAATTCCTCAAAAATACAACTTTTTTTTGGACGTTTTGGTATAGTATCTTCGATACCAACGCTTTTTTCAAACGCTGCTACTGCTTCAGAAGAGTACAGTGCATTTATATCGAAATGCAAGCCATCATTATTTGGCTTGATTTCAGGTTGCTTCCGGCAACAAACAAATCCGGGTGCCACTTCCGTAGCTGATGATATGGGTCTTTTATTAATACGTATCTATAAAACTGTCTATCGGTTAACATGATAGATCACATATCAACTGAATTTAATATAGTCACTTTTTTTAAGCTTGCGGAAGGAAAGTTCTTATGGATAAAACGCATCAAGGAAACATTATATCCACTCGAATGCGAGAAGGAAACAGTGAGAGGTGTCGGGATATTTGTCACAGGAATGTATACCATTGAAATTTCATCAGATTACTCACAAAATTAATAAATCTTCACAACTACTTTCGTTTTGGTGCTCAATCGATCTCAATCGAAATTAGAGAAAAATGAAAGTAAATCAAACAAAAACTCACCATTTTGACTACATATTTCAATTTGAAAATCATACAAAACAAAAACAATCAACAAAATGTGTACCTCAATATTTCTCTTTTTGAAGAACTGCTTACACTCGTCTTCAAAATCGCTGATATCTTGGTAATTTTTTAAACATTCACGCATCCATGAAGGAAACCATTTTGATGACATCGAGCAAAACCTTTAAAAAATTAAGCACTTCATAACGGATATTTTGATTGGAAGCAATTAATTTTCCTTAATATATCAAACTGTAAGTATTGAAGCTATTATTGCTTTAAAAATATTGACATCCTCGAACGACAATTTAATTTGTCAGATATATCCGGACTCCGAACTTTATTTTAATTTCATTAATACCATAATTATGTGAGACAGTGCATCAATTAATTAAATAACGTGTTAGCAAGATTTGAAGCTAAACTAATCTAGACCTTGAATCAACAAGAATGACAACACCAAAATCATTTTTATGTCGAAGAACACGGCCAATTGATTGATTCACACTACGAATTGCTTCCACTTGATACCATTCGTCAGCTGATATATTCTGAAAATTACAAATTTCTGTACAGTTTAGCAAAATAACGGATGAGTTATTTGAAACTAATAAAAAACAAATTTCCTCAGCCAATCAGTACGTCAATTTAGTATTAAAATTCAAAAGGAAGGAATAAAAAGAAGGAAATACAACGGAATAAAGTGAAATAAGCTAAGTGATATAATCGCAATGTCAGCAAAGTGTGATCGCATTAAATGTATGACGCATACAATTAAATGCAATAAAATGCACTGCATGTAATAATTTTTAGTCTATTTCAAACGGATGTTTTTTTTTTTTATTGTAATTAACTTAAACGATACAGTTACGTGCAATAATTTTTAGCAGTGCAATTTATTTGTCATTTGTACAGAATAATTAAGCTTGCAATTACTTTTCTTAGCTCTTGCTTCACGACAACCATCCTTTGTTTCGTAAGAAATTGTCTCTTAAGTTCAATTCTAGGATCCATTGTTGGAGCGTATGGAATACCGATTACGATAACACCACGGCTTTCACTGTCTAAGAAATCGATCCCTTCGCTTACCTTAAAATATATCATAATTCAAAAAGAATTTAATGTGTGAGATGTTGAGATGAAAATAATAAGCACATAAAAGATGTCAACACTCGTAAACCAATTAATCCAATAGATTTTAAAGTCTAAGATATTCATAAAAAAAAAAAAAAAAAAAAAAAAAAATGTTACGTCGCTTACCCACTAAATATGTCATGGAGAAATATCTGAAATATACTCGATAGAAAGATGATTTAATCTAAACAAATTGCAATTCTTATTACGATATAGCCAAATTACAATGTAGTTGAACACAGCAATTATATTGGAGAAATTACCTTAGCTCTACAAACAGCAAATAAGATAGCACCATTACCGCCTTCTCTCACTTTTTGCCTAAATTGCAATAGTACTGTTTTCAGCTCCAACTTAGATTTTGGTTCAACGAATGCTTCTTTATAAGCTGATATTGTTTCCCATATGAACATTGGGCCAAATTTTAATGTCTATAATCAACATTAAAAAATAATTTCGCTAAAAGAATTTTAAATCAATTTCAAAATTTAAAAACTAAGAATTAACTGTTCAAAGTGTATACACTAGGAAACACTACTGAGTAATAGAAAATTCCAATGTTTTTAAAATCTCATTAATGCTTTCATTAACTTTTAAAATCTCAATAACATAAGCAGTAATTAATTTCTGCAATTATTTAAGATTATTGGACTTTTTGTTTTTTGTAGACCATATTTTCTTTTTAGTTAGACCTTATTCACAATACTTTATCTAAAATTCAATATATGTATGAAAGTTTGATCATTACAGTTCTTTCCTTAGAACGAAAATTGAAAAAAAGAAAAATGAACAATCTTAAACAACTATTCCAGCTTACTCAAGCTATGAACATTTCACGTCTACTATTAAAAAAAAAAATACGGCAATAATAGACATGCAAACCTTCCAGAATTTCAGGCATGTATTCATAGTAACATAGGACGAGAAAAACACCAAGATACCATCCGGAATGATTTGACAAGCACGAACAATAACTTCACCAATTCCAAATACGTACGCTGAACTGCTCCTGATCATAAATCAACAAAATGACGTTTGAAATAAGAACAGTATTAGCAAATCAAATTTGAAATGAAGACAACTTTTAACAATAACAAGTGGGATTTTAATTGTATTCGGAAGTTTAGCAAAAAGATCGTATGGAAAGTAGATCAAGATTTGAAATCAAAATTTAAAATAAAAAAACACAAATTAGTTTATTTTATATTTCCCATTACAATAGCAACAATGTGAGGATGAAACCAGCAACAATAACTAGCATTTCGATTTGAAACAGTGAGAAATTGTCAAACGAAATCACATTTATAGATGTTAATTTCGGCATCATTTTAAATTTTCTAAAATCCATTGTGAAATTTTTTATTTTAAAAGTTCATTACGAAAATAAAACTTTTGAAGTAACTTTAGTATCCAAATCGATTTCATATTTGACAAGATTATATTACAGTTAAATAGTGATTTTAAATTTTAACTTTAGAAGTGCACTGAAAATTACATACCGTTTGTGAAAAGTACCACAGAGATCGATTCCACTTTGACTAGAACGAATACGTGCACACAAAATTTGATCCACGTTAGCAGCATGCTGATTTTCTAGCGCTATCGGGAAACTTATACCGAGATTATTAATAAATGAATCTAACGGTGATAAGGTACCACTGGTTACAATCACAGAACGTACACCGCATGAGTGAAGATACCTCAAAAAGTACGCATTGGTAATTTGATTATCATATGAGAAAAGAATTAATGCTAATTCAATTTGCTAGGCAGAAATCCATTTTTCACTTCAACTCATTATGTGCCTCCAAAAAGAATAATTCCATCATTTGGAAAAAAATCATGAATTGTTTCTATCATCCAATTATACTTTAACAAATTATGATGACTTTCATTTAATAAAGCATGTTTTTAAGAAAAGTTAGAAAAATATTTTTCCTACTTTTCCCTTACAACAATAAGAATTTTTATAAGTGAACTAAAGTTAAACCATTAAATGCAAAATTACTTAGTTTGATTGGAAGATTTAATTTCTATCTCAAAATTTTCAAAGTCTCAATATGTTAATATATAATCATCTTTGTGCAGGAGAAAATTGGTGTTGACAGAAGTTACTTCATTATATCAATTCATACGAGCAATTTTAAAACAATTTCCAATATTATTAAATTAAAGATTAACACCTTGCATTGCATGTGGCAATATAAGCACTTAGCCAAGTGCTGAATCACTAAGCTGAATGAATCGCATAATTTCGATAGTTAAACAAGTTTATATAAAGGAAGGAGTTGGATATAGATAATGAAAAAGTAACTAACCACATTGCAACTGATGGTGAAAAGCACCAGTAATTCAGCGTTATTACTGAACTATGCTTTGTTATGTAAAGCTAAAACAAATCATAATTAGAAATTGGAAACTTTAAAAACTTCATAATTTTAAAGCAAATGAAAAAAGTGTTAACAACATATGCGCTATTGTAGCAATCAATATAAAACTAAAATTGTGCAAATACTATTAACAATAAGATAAAATTAACCTATAGAAATATTAAGATATAACTTAAATTAGTGCAAACATATAGTAAATAGCATTAAATATATTATCCTATTTTAGACCAAAATAATAAAAATCAAGTAATCTAACTCATATTATTCTAACCCACATTACTGCATCGTTTTCTGATAACATAAATCAGAAATGTTATAGATTAAGATAGAAACGGATGATTATCTGCTAAATAAGTGAAATGAATGATGAAAAAAAGAAATTGAAATTGTATGATTTACTATAATGGAACAATTTTCCTCTATATTTTTTTGCCATTATTTCAATGCTTTAATTAATAATACTTCCTGCTGTAGTATAACAAGCGTCCATACGAACTATTTATTTGTGCTACTAATTAAAGAAAATTAAAGATTCACTAACACACATAACCACTGTAAAGCGTACTTGAAAATATTTCACGATGCTGTCATCCGTAATCTTTTTGTGCATTTTTCTCACTACACATGCAGGACTATCCAATGCTTGTGATGAAGCATGTTTATATGCGTAAATAGTTGAAATAAATGATGAAAATTCTTGAAGATAAACTCCTTTTTCCACAAATTCTCCAATCGTTTCATTTTGTGCTGGAAACTTTGTTTACCTAACAATAATAATTTTCAGTGTAAAATAAGGCTAGATAAGTAATGAAAATATTTTTTGCTGCCCAATTCTTCACCGTCACACAAGTCAGGAAAAAAAAAGAAATTAAAATCAAAAATTTGTGTAAAATGCTATAAACTGACATATGATAAAAATGAAAACAACACGAAGATAACAAACCTTTTGCTGTGAGGTATTGCCCAATTTTATCAATAGTCTGTGATACAGCTTCCCTCATATCCTTTCGAAATCCTGCTTTTGACAGTAATTCAATCATATGTTCACCAGGATAAACTTTACCATCAATACCAGTCACTTTCTTGCCTCCACTTTTCGCACAAACGTCTACAGCATCTTCAAACTGATGCAAGGATGCTGAAGTACCGACTTAAAGAGATTCAATTTAACTTAGATTCAGTTTAATCAAAACTAAATCCAAGTGTTAGTTAAATATTCCTTAACGTAAGTAGAATGAATACCAATAAAACCAGATTTCAAAATAACACTCATATTAATTTCAAAACTATAATAAGGAATCAATTGGGTGTTTCAAAGATATGAATATATGGACCAAATTATATTTACCAAGCAAGTAAGCTACGTCATTCTTCTCAATTTTCACTTCATTTGTTTCCTGAATTTCAGTACCAATTGGTACAACTGTATTATCCTGTAAAAAAGGCAGAAATGAATGTCGTATTCTCACACTAACAATTTTTGGTCCACAAAAATCAATTAACGAGTGTTCAAACTAAAAAAGAAAAGCCAGAAAAGAATTAGTCGAGTGAATCAGGAAAAATAATGTAAATATGAAAAGACAACAGTGAGAACAAGAAAAAGGAGAGATAAACTTCCCAGAATAATTGCTCATAAATTAAAAGATTAGTAAATTATCACTTTTAAGAACAAAACTTTGCATTCAAAATCTTGGTGAAATACACTGAAAGATAAGAGTGATAGGATAAAATATGAATCCTATAAAAGAAAAAACACTGAGTAGAAAAATTATGCAGAAAATTAATCAGTGAGAAATATATATATATATATAAAGCAAAGTATCAAGTAAAGAAAATACACACCATTTGAGTTCGAACTTCCTCTTCATCATTTATCATTAATTCCAAAACTTTCTTTGTTTCTCTTATGCATGCACTTATTTGGGTAGTTGAAAATGATACTGATGTTGACTCTTCGCAAACTGATTCCTGAACAAAAATTCCTATACAATTTCAATTCTCAATTTGTATGAAAACTTACAAAGTTTCCTCAACTATTTCAGGGAAAATTACATCAAGTGGCAATTCCATTATGTTATCAAATTATCGGTGGATACAAAAACATCTTTTAATTAAAAAAAGTTACCAAATTATGTGCCTCATCGAAAATGACAATATTTCCTTTGAGCTGAATGTTATGCTTATATCGCAAGGAAGGATCGACGATATAATTATATGGTAAAAGAATGAGATCGGCATTTTCATACATTGAACGGCTCCGAAAATAAGGACAATACCTGAAGTGTGAGCTTATTTTGAGCTTATTTTTAAAATGTAATAAGTTTTAATGAAATGGATCAAACGAGTTTTGATATTAAGATGCTCCGGTATCTTAAATTGAAATGAAATTTCAAACAAAAAAATCTGACATACTTATGCTTCCGAGACACACTGATGACTTCTTCAATATCTGGAACCAATCCATTTTTGCTATATAACAGATCTAACGTTGATGGATCAGCTTCTAAAATACGTTTTTTTTTTTTCTTTTTTATTTCAGGGAGTAAACCAAAAATACTGCCTGAACAAAGCTTGGGACAAATGAAATTATGGAAATTAAATTCCCAAAAATGATGAGTAAAAATAAAATAAACACCTGGAATACTGAGACACAAAATTTCGACTAAAAATGTGGGAAAGGCAAAAATTTTGAAATCTCATTAAACTTTTTTTTAAAGTTTTTGATAAAGTAAGCAAGTGAAAAAAGCAAATAAAAGACGAAAAAAGATATAGAAAATAAAAACATACTTTCATAGAAATTATAAAATGGACATCGATGCTTTCTGATCAAATTCCTACACATCAGTGATTTGACATGACTATTATTTTCTTTCATCACTTTATCATTGATACAAAGTACATCACGTGAAGCCAATGTTACAGTCTTAATGCTGAAAATATCAAAGAAAGCTTAAAACTTGTTTCTGTGCTGAAAAAGGAATGAAACATTATCCAGCATACCGAAAAGAAAGGAAGATTAAACAATAACTAATGAGGACAGCACAATAAGAACTACTCTTAAATACTGACAAAAATAACAAAGTAACATAAAAAAAGATCTATTTAACTACAGATGTCGAACATTTTGAAAATATTTTAAATCAACATTACATAGAAAACAGAAAACTTTAAATAATCGGAAACATGCACTCTAACACATCCAAACGAAAGATTAAAAGCATTTCAAATTCAGATATTTGCAATAAATCGAAGCCAAAAGTTGAAATTTTTGAAAAATAATTCAACATAAGAAACTTACTCTTTGTAAGTTGTTTTATTTAATTCACGGATTACTTGTACCAGTTGACTATGTGTTCGAGAAGCATAAAGGATTTTTGGATAAAATGATCTAGAAGATGTACCTGTCAATAAAATCATTTTTCATACAGCTTTCAATATTATGCATTCTAATATTCTTGTTTCTCATTTTTTCTAGCATGACAAAAAATTTCTAACATTAGCAAAATCTCATTCAGCATTGCATCTAATTAAAAACCGGAATATAAGCCAATATGGAAATGTGTGAGATAACAGAAGTTCTCCTGCACATAAGAGAGATAGCTTCATATTGTATTATATTTAAGAAACAAATGTTAATTGTTTCAGTAAATAAGTCAATCTGGAACAACAACCTTGTATTTCTTGTGCACTGTCCTGCAATATTTCTAATTTGCAATGTTTCAAGTATGCAATGGCAGTGCACAATAAACATAGTGTTTTGCCGGTTCCAGTTGGCGATTCTAATGCTGCATTTTGTCCCTTAAAAGTGGTAAATCTCAGAAAAAAATTTTCGGTAGAAGTCTGGACTCGATTACTATCAAGTTAACAAAAAACACTCAAAATTTAGGATATTAGAAACAATAAAACTTCCAAAAGTTAATCAATCGAGTAGCTATAGTTCAAGAAATTGTGAATGAATTTGCCTGATAGATTTACAGTAATAATAATCCTTTACCATAATAACAGCAGTGAAATATTGATAAAATTTTGCTTGAAAAAAAAGCTGTGTCAAGCAAAATTCTTGGCAAATGTGGCTCTATAGTCCTTAACATTTCAAATTAAACATTTTCGTGTAATCTATAACACATCCATAATTATATATTGGAAAGATAACAGTTCCTTATAGTTTGGAATAACGTTTCCTAATAATTCATCCTCACAATCAGTAATAGTTTACAACTTTGGAAGAATGTTAGTAATTAAAATTTATTGTAAAGGTCTTATTGGTACATTTTTTGTTACATTATTTATCTAATAAATATTTCATCGTCTATCATATAAAGGAATAATATTCAATGATCATTCAAATATCATAAAATACGCATAATTAAATAATAAGTTGCAAGTTATTATTATTATATAACTGATAATTTTTTCTCGTATTCAACAGTACATTATGTCCAGTAGCTTAACAATTACCATATTAAGAAGTGTAATCAATTGTGTTCAATAATATAAAGTTATTAATAATTAGGACACATATAGCAAGCATACCATCTGCAAAGCTTCCATAATTTTTTCCATAAATTTAATTTGACACTGATATGGTTCGAATGGAAATTCCACAGTAAACCTATCAATTCGTACTATATGCATAATTGGGACAGAATTCGAATTCAAAATATTTCCTGAAATATTTCATAAACATTTGATTATGCTGAAATTAATCAATTACATAGCTTATAAATTTATAACGGATGTTAATTTTCCAACCTTCTTATCAACTGATGTTAACCAGCTAATTCCAAAATTGTCGCAAACCTAATATACTTTCATTCAATATCATTTTCCTAGTTACATTAATGATCATTCTCACATTATTCTTACATCACTATCACCTGACGCGAAATTTTATTGACTGCCAGATATTTTCTCCATAAATGTGAATCGATGCAATATGCGGTTGAATAATTGAAACAACAAAGGAATAAAGAGCACTGTTGGGTAGGAGGGAGAGAAGACTACCACCGATCCTTTCGTTTTTCTTACCTGATCAAAGAAGATTTTTAAAGATGTAGGGAGTAGGCTGGCGTAACGGATTAATATTCATGTGAAGATAGATATACATTTACAATTTGAGGTTTAGATAAAGGATTCATTGTTTCAAAAATGGGAAATAACAAAGAGAGTAATAAATTAATTTATAGTAATGAATCATTAGTATTATTCTAAACACTTACTGTGTAATAAATATTTTTTTCGCTTGTACAACGATAAAGCAAAGGAAAATAAGAGACAAACGATTAAACTGGTCATTAGATTGTCAGAGAATTCACCACAATGTATCCTCTATCTTATCGATTCCTGTCATATCACTAGTTATCATATTCACTGTCTTTCATCTATTTCAATCTCAGAGTAAAATAATCTTTAGTTATTCTGATTCTGTCTTTGATCTCTCAGGTTATAGCATTCTATAAATTGTGCTCTCAATCTCTAATTATATCTTATGTTCTTTTTACCCAACGCAAATGATGCTGTTTCAAAAAAAAAAAAAAAAAAAAAGATTAAAAGAAAATTAAAAAACACTCTCTGGTAGTGAGATGAATCAAGTGAGTTCTACACAACCCAAAATCATGCCCGGGTACACCCCCGTATCCCACCTTGTCACATTGAATGACAAATTTTCTCTCCACTCATTTCATAATTTTGAATTTAAAAGTGAAATTTCTGCAGCCAATGAAAAATTTTCATCCCACAAGTGCCGAAATTTTTTTTTACAATTAAAGAAACTATTTCGATCGATGCATAAATAATTTATTCAACAATTTAGATAGAAGCTGAACATTCAATCGAAATGATTAAGCTCAATTAAAATACAGTGTGGAACACCTATCATTCGAGAAGGCATCATTCCATTGCAAAATGACGGTGATTTAATACATTCAGTAACATTATTGAAATACTAAAGTATTGTTAAAATACAAAGATACCTCCAAGTTATCATAAATTTCTATTAAAGTGTTGAATTAGTCTTTAGGAAAAAAAAACATTCAATTAATCAATCAAATCAATTTACTTAGCAATCAAATAGTCATATTAAACAGGTCAATAAAGGAATCATCAAATTTAACATATCAATTTTGCATTAAAAATTTTCCAATCATTTCTTTATCAAATCAAAAAAAAAAAAAAAAAACATTCCTATCATTTATTGCTATTAACATGCAACCTTTTCTTCTCTTTTTTTTTCATAAAGAAAGAACATACGCATACAGAAAAAAAGAAAAACAGAAAGTTGCCAAAAATTCTAATTATTTAACCAATAAATTAAACTTCAAATTTCAACAGTTTACTATTTATTAAGCTGCAACATACATTTTGTAAATTAAAACTTTTGTAAATTTTTTCAAATATTTTGCAAACACTGCGCCAGCATTGTGCCAAAAGCTATGTGGTAGGAAGAATTCAATATTGTGTAACTTGATCGTTAATGTCTGAAAAAAAAAATATATGAAACAATAAAATTTGTTAACTTTATCACTACAATATACGCACACACACGCTTGATAGCAATACCATTAAAAAATTGCTATTATATCATTAGAAATGCTCATGCTTTATCAACCACTTCATTCATCATACATTAATCGAAATAGGCATATTTATAATAGACATCAGATTTTATTTGTAATTAATTTTTTTTTAAATTAGTGTTTCATTATTTTTTTTTAAAGTTTGAGATATGTATGTAAGGGTGAATTATTATTATTATTAATAGCATAAATTATTGTAAATCATATGGACTGCAACGATTAACTAAGTTATCGTTATTGTGTTTCTAGGAATTTTTTTCTTGTAAATTAATTATAATAATATATTTAAATTTTAAAGCAAGAGTATTTAATAAAAAAAAAAAAATTCCTGTTTTGCAAATTTCTCACTTAATCAAAACATAGAATTTAATTTTAAAATAAAATTAAATAATGAAAATTAGCAACCTTTTCATATTTGCTACCATTGACAAATGCGATAACGATATCATCCTTTAGAACATGTGAGCCCACATTACGGCGCCATACTTGGCCACCAGATATATCTGTCCCAATGATCACATCATCTGGCACATAACCTTGTGTAGTATAATTTATCGTTGGATTTAATCCAACATTGAATAACATTTCAGTTAACTGCAAAAAAAGAAAAAGAAAAATGCTAAACAAATTCAAATTTTAAACAAAAAATAATGTTTTTTAGATACTCTAATTTAATTGAAGAGAAATTGAGCAATTTAAAAATTTACCCATCATTTCCAACTTATTAAATTTTGAAATTCAAAAAAAAAAAATGCTGTAATCAATTTTTGGAAAAAATGCTAGACGAATGTTCTGCTAGCTATCAGCTTATTACTTTCTATACCGGATTCTGATTATGATTATTAATTGTTTCTGATGAAAATTCATATTTTTAGAAAAAACATTTACATATTTTTAGTAAAATTAATGAAAATATGGAACACAAGCCAACTTTTTTTAAGAAAAGGAAAAAGTATTCATCTTTTATATAACATTCAGTTTGTTCTGAAAGAAAATTTGTTCGCTGAAAATTGAACAATATCCAATTTAGTTCTTAAATATCAAAGAACGAAAATTTTGAAGAAGAAAATGAAATAATGATATTTTATACAAGAAAAATATTTTTCGGATTGTTCAATAATTTTAATTTAAATTGAATTTCAATATCACAAACCGCTTGATGTATTGACTTTTTCAAATTATCCAGCGCTTCTCTCGGTGTTTGCGCTTGTCCAGGATATCGAATAGGCAGAGCTTTAGTTGGAACTGTGCTAGACCACTCAGTAGTAGTAGGTTCTTCAGTTGTCGTAGTTGTTGCTTCTGTTGTTGTTGTTGTTGCTTCTGTTGTTGTTGTTGCTTCTGTTGTTGTTGTTGTTGCTTTTGTTGTTGTTGTTGCTTCTGTTGTTGTTGTTGCTTCTGTTGTTGTTGTTGTTGCTTTTGTTGTTGTTGTTGGTGGCGATGGCGGTGTTGGTGGTGGTGGCGCTAGTGGTGTTTTTGTAGTTTTTGATTTTATTCTATGACGAATTTTCAACATTTCAGCGATATCATCAAATGGAGTTTTTCCAGGTGGAATATGACTATGATTTTGTTGACAAATCCAAGGATAAATACGACAGGCAAAGGTAGGTTCATGTGGTGGTGCATCATGAATTAATTGTATCTGATCTTTTTCATAGAAACCTGATAAAAAGTGATTGTCAAATTTGTCAACAAAACATCTTACAATTACATGTTTTATTAATTGAACTTTATAATTCCATGTTTCGTTTCCAAGTCATTTTTCTTTCAGATCATCACTAAGTGACACTGTTGAAATGAAGTAATAATATAATTTAGTATTGAAAAATATTCTAAGGTAAAGTATCATACCTTGCATTGGTCCGCAGCCATATGCTATTAGAAAAATGGAGCAACTGATTGCAAGATGAAGAATCATCACCAAGTTTTGGTCCACAAATAATTACCAACTGTAGTATAACAAGCAAAAATTTCATTTGTCAAAGGTCTCAATTGTAACAATAATGCTTTAACTACTGTTATTACAATTAATCATTAAAAAAGCAAATACAAATCATAGAAAATAAATTTAAGACTAAAATTATGCAAATTCTATCTAAAATTAGATAGAATTAATCTTTGGAAATACTATGATATAATTTCAATTAATGTAATAATATAATAAACATTATTAAATATATTATACCATACTAAAATAAAATGATAAAACTTAAATAATCATTTAACTCATATCATTAAATTATCATCTTATGATAACAATAATTGCAAATGTTATTGATTAAAATTGAAATGATAGACATTATGTATGATTTGCTAGAATGGTACAATCTTCTTATATAATTTTTTTTTTATCATTATTTTAATGCTTTCATTGATAATACTCCTTGCCATTGTAACAAAGAGCAAAGATATGAAATTTCTCATCGGTTATTTGCACTAATTTCATTTATTCAACCCTCAAAGAATAATTTTCTTTCTATTTTTTAGTCAAACAATAGTTTTATTGAATATTTGAAATTATTATGCTATCACATTTCATTGTTCTTCAAAAGATATCATAAAAATGTTCTAAGATCAATCTCCAAATTATATGTTACCATTGTAAAATTCATCATTTTCCTTTTCGTTTTTCTTTTGCCATTTAAATAATTGTATTATTTTTGAATAAATTTAACAGATAAGAAGTAAAATGTAAAATGAACCATAAATAATGAGAAAATGTTTATAATTATATGGACAATAATGTTTGATTAAATTATCATCCTAAATTGAAATTTGTCAACATTTATGCCACAATATTTCCTAATTAAACATTCATACATTACTAACTGATACTTATAAATAGTTTTATTCTGATATATATTGATTTTAAATTATTCAGATTTTATTTTTGAATAAAAAAAAAATTGCAAAGGATAAAAATAGATTAATGATTATTATGTGACAAAAGAAAATATTCGAAATAACATAAAATTGACAATCATAATTGTTCACCACAATGACATTTAATTTACTTTAATTAAATTTATAGATAAAGAAGACTGAATAAACAAACACTTAATGAGTATTACTTAGAAACGAAATTACTTAGAGAAATTAGGTGAAAATTTTGAAGGTTATTCTTTGGGAAGCAAAAAAAAATTAAAAACATAGTTAGTCGAAGCATAAAATAAAGAAAACAGTGTTTAATAAATAAGCAAATAGCAGAATAGCGAGGAATAATTAATTAATAGAAAATATTTAATTCAATTAAAGAATTCTCTTTGAAATTGAAGGTTCTAAATGGCTTCCAGACTAATGCTAAATATATTTACGAATATTATTACTTAATTTAAAGGAAATAGTTTATAAGTCATTTCATTGAGTTTTTTCATTATTTTTCAAAAACTTCAATAAATTTAAATTCAGTGAAGTTTACTAGAAATCTTTTTTTAAAAACATAATATGTGATTAAGTTATAAGAATTGTATGCCAGTTAAAAATAAAATTTTTTTAAATTAGTAGAATTAGCTGGAACAATACTTTATGTTTTTTGATTTGTTCTAAGATATGAAAATTACTTTTTAAATGTTTATAATCTTAGCAAAATTATTATACGCATTTTCTTTTTTCTTTTTTAAAACAAAAAACAAAAAAGTTGACATTATAATTTAGTTTAAGTATTTGATTCAATTCAAAATATTTAAAATATTTTCTTGTCAGCGATGACAAATTTTTATTATTCAAATTGATGCAGAAAATTTATTATTTATTTAAGCAACTTCTTTTCTTCTTTTTTTGTATTCACAAATTTTATAGCTTTCGTATAAATAAAGGGAAGTAAAAGATGGTAATCTATATAATATGTGTGTATAGGTGTAATAATGATAGTGAAAAAATTTTAGATAGCGTATATATAAAATGTTTTTCAACTTTTTTCTCATCTTTCTAACGTTTGAAAAAAAAATTTTTTTTGTTTAGTTTATTTCGTCTCAAATATTTCCTTTGTTTTCATATATTTTAAATTAAAATTATTATTACTAACTATAGAAAATTATTATTATATAATAATAAAAATAATTATGCATTTTTTGTTGGATACATTGAATAGCAAAAATTGTTTTGCAATAATTAAACATAAAAAAAAGATAACTATGAAAAAATTGCAAAAAAATTAAGCAAAAATTTTGTTAATTTGATATTATATAATTTTCTATTTTCCGTATTATTTCTTATTCCGCTTATTATTTATAGGTATTATTTAGTTTATTTTATTACTTTATTCATCATGGAATATTGTAGTTAGGCTAAAAAATTATGCATTTCCTTCATATCATTCTATTTTCTTCATTAATCACATGGATACATGGATGTGGGCCACTCCCAATGGATATCAATAATGGCGGTAATAAAATCATTATTTTAGATTTTAATTACAATTAAAATTATCAGCTAACAATAACCTTAATCAATAGCACTAATACTACAATTTGTATGCTATTTTCTCTTTTTTTTTTTAATTTTTACAATTCTTAAAAATTTTTCAAATATGTTGGAAATATTTTGTAAATCTAATTTAAATGAATGAAATACATATATTTTTATATGAATGAAATACATATATTTTATATATTCGATAATTTAGTTACAATTTCAGTTCTGCCTATGCCTACAAGGATTGTTCCATCAGCACAAATGCCATTTCATAACAACAAAAGTGCAGCGGTGAAAGCATTTGAATTCCTCTGCAGCCAATATCCGTTAATTTGCCAGTCTTATCATTTCGATGATAAAGAAGGAAGTAAATAAAACTATTTAAAACCACTCATTATCTGTTCTAATAAATGTTTATTATTCATATTAATCACATTCGCTTCGTAATAATTAATAATTATAATAGTACTAATAGCAATAATAATAGTGATAATAGTAACAATTAATATTAATAATAAATAATAATAATAAAGATAAAAATTGACAACGATAATAATATTAACAATAATAATAATAGTACGATATATGATTATGATTGCAATATCACATTTATTCGTACTTTAATCATTATTCCCACTTTTAATTCTGTTTTTATGCACAAATTTAATGTTAAATATTTTAAAATTATTTTCCAAATGCATTGTGCAGAGAGATATGTCTGTATGGTTAAATTACACATCATTAAAGAGGCAGATTATATTTTCAAAGTATTCATAAGTTTTTGTAAATAATAATGCAACAAACATTCGATGAATTAAATGAATTAAATATTTTGATTTAAAAAATTTTTCATCTTCACTTCATCACTTATTTAATTTTTTTGAAGATTTTCAGTTAAAATTTAACTAAGTTCAAGTCTTTATGATACTATGAAAAGGAAATTGATTAGTTATTTTTAATAAATAAAGCAAGAAAAAATGATTTTAATAAAATAACTTAAAATGAGGAAAACATCGTTATCTCTTTTTTTTTTTTGCACAATATCTAGTGATAGATAAACAATCTTTTAATATAACAGCGTACTTATTAAATTATCAGCTCAATCCAAAATTGATTTATTCTAATTTTCTTCACACAAAAAATTTTTTTCTTTATACAGAAATTTTATAATTTAAACGATTACTTTATAAATGATGCATTTTATTATAATCGAAAAATCAGGAAAAAGTATGATTAAAAAATATAGAAAATATAATCAAAAAGAAAAAAGGAAAAATGCAATTAATAAGTGAAATGAAATAATATTTTGTACTTATCACAAACAGATCACATATATTTCATTTAAGTTCCTAATTGTTTGCATCGCCCAAATGACCCACTCCAAGTTCCATTCATGCAAACTCGCCATCGGCTACCTTCCACTTCTAAGTAGTGATTAGGTGGACATATAAGCATTGCAATTGTCCCATGTGGGTATTTCAACGCATTCAAATTGATCAATTCCTGTAATAATAAATTGCAATTTTTATTATATCATTATATTTTATTAATTAGTCAACATCGTTTAAATGATTTTGAATTCCTTACCTTGATCTTCGTTTCAAAACCTTAAATCATTTTTTGTCCTTCCATTTATCTTGGAACTATTTCACACCTGTTCTATCTTAATCTTCACCTAATCGAACACAAATATGCTTTGTATGTTTGTAACAAATGAATGGAAAAAAAATTTTTTTTTTAAATTCCTTATATGAATTGCTATTTTTAGCCGTAAACAAGCAATAAAATTTAAATTTCACTCGAATAAACGAAAGAAAAACGATTTCAAAATGTGAAGTTTGATTAATCAATGATAGGAATAAAAATTCAAATTAGCAAGTAGTAAGTTTTATTACCGGATTATAAGCAATATATGGAATTGCTAATTTTGGTGGTGAACATGGCGCAATTTTGTAACGGAAGAAATTACATCCCTCTAAAATGTTTGAATAGAAATGAAATTAAAAATTTACAACATAGTAAGATTGCTTAATCTGATAATTACCTAAAGAAAATCATTCTGAAAGTTATTGCTGCATCATTTTATAATATCAAAAAGGAAAGTCAGTGAAAGTTATGTTATATTAAAATGAAAACAAACAAATATTGCTTTAGTCGAGTAAAATTTTTTATCTTTTAATTGTTCTTCCCTAAATGCGAATTATGTAGAATTCAACTATTTATCATAGCTATACGTCTAATTGTATTAACTGTAATAATTGTAATTGTATTAGCTATAACCGTAATAATTGTATTAGCAAGCTTAAAATAACGATAAAATTGCTGGAGTCACATAATTTTTTAAATTCTCGAGATAACCACTCGAATTAAATTCTGCATTTAATAATAACATGACGATAAGACATGGGACAACGTGTTAAAATTTTGAGAAATAATTTATCATTTTATTATTTCAATACCGAAAGAATGATTAATAGTTATTTTATTTCATATGACAAAAAGTGTAAGATAAAATAAAATAATAAGCAAAATTTTAGGTGAAATATTGAAAAAGCTGGAATGGAACACTGAAAAAGACAGTAAGCAGAGCTACTAGCAATTAATATCACATAATTTGATAATATTCATAAGTTAATAATCAAAAAAAGCACCAACCTCCCATGACATTTGCAATTAAACCATATGCTAATATATTGTAAACAATCATTTTGATAGATTTTTGCTGCAGTCTGAAAAGAAGTAAATGCTTTTCTGAAAAGACAAGCAAAATAATCTTTTATTCCGTTAATTTCATTTCTGATATCAAGTTAATAACAGGAAAAAAAATTTCTTTTCATTCATATAACAAAGATGACATCTGAATAAATTTTTCCAAACATTATTTTCATAAAAATTTAAAATATTGAATTAAAGCAACAAAATATAAAATATAATTATTAATAGATTAAAAAGCATATAATAAACTTGGATAACAAGCATCTAACCAATTATCATATCTAATCATATCATTTCCACTAATAATAAAGTTGAATATTTATAGATAACTTTTTCACCAAATGATTTGCGACAAAAATATATCTACCATTTATTAAAGAATTAAATAGTCATTTGCAACATATAAAAGTATAATACCTACTGCTTATCCGAAATACAACGGTCAAATCGGAAATAACCAGTTTTTCATGTTTTGCATCGTTAAATTGCTGAATTAAATGAGTGATAAGAGCTGTATATTTGATTTCAAATAGTTATCATTTCATTTAATAATTTTCTGCTAGGCTCTTTTTTTCTAATCGATCATTTGATTACACTCGCATATTATCATCCTTTATACAATTTTATTTCTTATAAACTGATTATTTGCCGACAAAAATTTGTATAATTATTTTCGAAAAAGAAAAAAATCTGTCTTTGTATTTTTTGATAATTTTTTTATTAACAATGCTTCATTAAAGAGCAGAATGATTTAGTCGTAAAATTCGATATTAATAATTAATGAAACAAAGACGATGTGATTTATTAGCAGATATTATACTACTACTGAATGAGTGATAAGAGTAAATTCTATTAATAATATAATTTACATATTTGATAATCAAAGCAAGAAGTGATTGTTGAGGACACTTGTAAACATGCTACTTCGATTTAAATTTAACAAATTCTTACACGTATTAAGAGTCATTGGTAATTAAACTAATTGCTCTGATGATTGCATGTCAAAAAAATGGTCAATAAGTGCAAATGCGCTTTTTGATAGAGGAATGTTACATCATCCATTGATATACTATTCCTTAAACAACTGAAATTTAAAAAATAGAATTTTGCTAGAATGTCGATTACTTAGATGAAAATGAGATATGATTTTTGGCCAAATGAATGAGACAATGTGATTATAATTTTTCATCGATGAAACTTTTGGTTTATTATATTACTGAAAAACGAAAGTGCGCATAATTAAATATGGCCAATTATGGAACTCATCGTAATTTTATACAGGTAGAACCATAAGCTATTGAAAAAGTTTTTATCAATCGAAAAATTTAATACATTTTTTTTTGTATACATTGTAATCAGTCAATATGAAAGAGTTCTGATCGATAATTAACATTTTTTATTCTTATTAATATTTTTATCAACAAATCAATCAAATTTTATCAGAGTCCAATGAAATAATGGAACAATCAACTTGTGATTTTTCTTCTTGGTCAATTCAATTGCTGTCTATTCAACTGCTGAAAATACTTCCATTTTTTGAAAGAAATCAAAGTTCCAACGAAAAATTAAAGGTTCTAATTTGGAATTGAAAATAAGGCAACATAAGATTTTTTATGGCTAATTGATTTAAAACAATAATTTTAATTACTTTTTATTTTATCCTTATCAACGCATTTTCCCAAAGTTGGCTTCCATATACCACCTGTGCATTTAGATTTTGCATTACCAAAAAGACGTTGTCCAGGTTGACATACAACGGTTATTATGGTACCAAGATTAATCTTTGGTGACTGAAAATTTCACATTTTTCAAAAAATGTTTCAATAGATGAAAGTGATAAATTAAAGTTCACACTTAATGGTGCAACAATGATAGATGAAAAAAACTTTACTGGTTTGTATTTCAATAATGGTTGCCCGTCGGATTCATACGGTTTACAAAAGTTTTCATCGTACTCTGGCTTCAATTGGCAAACACCTAAAATTGAAGTGCTTGAGAATTTTTAACCTTACTCTTTTTCAAGCATTACACAAATAATTCTTTCAAGATTGCAAGATAATAATCATACAATGACTTATAAGCAATATTTTTTGTGAAATATAAATTTAATAGTGAGTAAGATGACATCAATAGTGAATAGAATTTAATAATTGAAGTGAAATGAAATGAAGAAGTAACCAAGCCTTGGTCGCCATGTTCCATCAATACCGCATTTGGTGACATTATTACCATGAAGATCATGATAAGCGTGACATGCCAGGTAAGCGATGCTACCTACACCACGCATTGCACCATCTTTCAGCTCGTAACCAATGTAACCGTTTTTTATTGCTCTTAATTGTTGACATGTTACTAATTGAAATTCTAAAACAAAAAAAAAAAAAAAGATACAGCCATAGTGATCTTATTGAATGCTATCATAACTACTGATGAAGTCTTAATTACTTTCTCATATTTACAAATTCATTCAATTATGATACTATGAATCAAAGTTTAAGCATCATTTAAAGGCTTTTCGACAGAAACATTAGACAAAAAATTATTTTTCTGAAAATGTTGGCCAATAATCGGTTATGCATAGTCCATCAGATAGATAGGCTCCTTACCATTAATAAGCCTTAGATGTTCAACGAGTATAAGTTCAGTCCCTATCATTGAAATACTACCATAGTTATCTCTAATTTTTCAAGTTATATTCGTCGAAAAGTCGCAGAATTTCTTGTTACAACAGCCATTTAATATTTTTAGATAGTTTAATTGGTAGAAAACTTTATAGCAACAATATTTAAGTAGAAATTTTACCATTAACAGCTAATGCTCTCAGACTGCAGGTGTACAGAACAACAATAACCAGTATTGCAAGTTTCAGAACCATTATCTGACTGTATAATTATTAGAGACATATTCAAATTTTTAATCAAATTTTTGAATGAAAAATTGTACACGTTTATTATTACTATTTATTGTTGCTAAGTAAACGAAGAGAAAGACAAAGACAAAGCCAAGATTGCCATCGAGGACAGAATGCCATATGAGGCATAATGTTATGGTGGGGTAACATTTAATGCTTATGCGATAAAATGTTAAATATCAAATCTGTTATTGTGGGTTGAATTTTACGCGGAGAATTTGAAACAATGAGTGAATTGAAAAGGAAGGAAAAAGATTTATCTGAAATTGCATGCTATAGCTTACATCTATTTATATATGAAAATCTAATACTATTATCGGTAAAATGCTGTCAATGTGAACAATAAAATTTGCATTTAATCTATTGCAAACAGTTTGTCATAAGTCTCAGAATCAAAAGATTTTATTTGTTTGCGTGCAAACGCAAACAAATTTTGCAGCACAAAGGGTTAATTCTTAACATTTCAGATCAGAAATCATTTTTTTAGCAATTGACTGATTAGTCACAGAAATGTTTAGCAAACTCTAAAAGAAGAATTTTTAGGTTAATAAAGATCTAAAAATGTGAGCACTACAATAACATATTGCTTAGTAACCCATAAGTATCTATTTATACTTTATTAGTATTTCAATTTAACAAAATTTTTCTGCAATTATCTTGAAAGAAAAAATTAATTATTGACCGGTTTTTTTGAGTGATCTATTTCGGAGAGAGGAGCCATTGAATCCGGTCTTACAGTAAGTTAACTGTTGCTTTCGTTAATAGCGGCGTAGTTTAGAGTAGCATTTGTCATCCATTTTTGAATGGCAGTTCTAATCGGCGGATAATGTGACAACATTTCGTCGATTTGTCTGCCATTGTCATCGTAGAATGATGACGAAATAAATGAGAGCAGCACCAAATAAAATGAAATGATTCGTGGACAAATGAATCCATTGAGCAAACAATCTTTTGCGTAATTTTGAATAATTTTTTTTTTAATAAAATGAAGTAGCAAGATCAATTATTGTTAGATTAATGTAATCTGAAAGAAATGAAAATATCAAATTAAAAATTAAATTGAAGCTTTGGAAATCAAGTATTAAACAACCTCCGACTATCTGAATGCAAATATACCGATAATGAGTGCAGCTGGTGATAAAAAATATTTTTGCAATAAATAATTTAATTTTTCAAATTATATATATATATGAATAAACGTTACACATACAAAATGAATTAAGAAGCGAGGAATATTTATCAGTGACATATCAGAAATTCATTTCAAATTTTACCATTTACAATAACCAAAAAAAAAAAAAAAAAAAGACGAAAAATGAAAAAGTTCTGATGAAAAATTAGAAAAAATTATATCGCTTCTGAACAAAATATATTTGAATAAAAAATACTTCATTTAACGTCTTATAGCACTTACGTTAATGATTTAAATGTTTGTTATCTGTAATTATTATATATGTTTTATGAAAATTTGCAAAAAAAAACCTTTTTTATTCCAAAAGAATAAGCATAGAAAATTATGATTACAATATATTGGCATGAATTGATCAAAAGAATACTGTTAAAAGCATTTCTATTTGATTTATTTGTTTGCGAATTTTTCTTTTCTATGCTTTTATCCACTTATTAAATCCAATAATTAGGTGACAATTTTGACTTATGCAGAAAAGTAAAATGTTGCCGCTTTGCTTTCCTTTCTTTCTCTTTTTCCCTTTCATCATCTGTCCTTTGTTTATTAATTTAAACTTAATAAAGATAGTTTAAAATAATTTTGTGTAAAATTTGTAATTTACTTAGTAGACAATAAATTGTTAACAAATGAATCGATGAAATCAATTCAAAAACAATATTTGATCTTTTTTTTTTTGAAATTCTACTAATAATTATATTACAAATAATAATTATAGAAATGCTGGGAGGAATGAAAAATTTATCCATTTGAGTTAATATACAGAAGGTATTATTATTGTTATTAAATAATGTGTTCATATTTTTACGTACACTTAAATGTTTGCATTTTTCCTTTTATTTTACACATTAAACAATTAAATCATTGTATGATATTGACAAGTCTTTTTTGAGTATATCAAATGAATTACTTACATAACTAAACGTTTCCTTCCCTTTTTGCATACTATCTTATGCAAATTTTGCAGCAATAAGAATTTAGTCAAGCAAAAAAGTAAAAATAAAGAAATATAAATTAATAAAAAAGGTGGATCAGTTTTCTCCACAATTTAAATAAAATTTGTCAAATTCAGTCATTTCAACTCAGATGACCTTTTTAAGTATTAACTTAATTAGCTTTATATTTTATTTTCTCCAAAAGTCTATTGAAAATTTAAAAATTTATAAATCATTTGGTATTCTGATTTTAGGTTAAGAAACAGAACATTTTCAGCTTCAATAGGTTCTACTTTATTAGAAATTGCTTATTTCTTTTACTTTATTTTTTTTTATCATATAAGTTGTGTGTTAAACGTTTAGTTCTTATTTTATATTAATTACGCTTAAAAATTCTTAACATTAATGATATATGATTGCATAATTAATAAGCAAATAAACCGATTTTCTCACACTGTTTATCACTGATCTTTCATCTATTTTCCATAAATTTTTTATTCAAGTGACATTTGCAAAGAATGTTGCCTTAAAATCAACAAAAAAAGGTTATATATAACTTTAATAATTTCAATAAAAAAGAAACAAATAAAAAAATTAATTTTACATTCACTTTTCAATATATTCTCACCAATAAATTGCTTATTAATATTTGATAACAAAATACAAAAAATGCCAGGAAGAATTGAAAATTTGAAGTTTCTAAATATTAACTTTACTATTGACAATAACATTCAGCGGCGTAATCAAAGGATTTCTTTCGCTTTTTTATTTGATTATTCATTACATAACTTTAAAGTAATACATTTCTTCGAGGTATTTAATTATAATTCATTAGCAGCTAACATACTGATGAATATCCTGAAAATTATTTATAGTTATATTTTAAAAATTCTAATCCATTTTAAATCACAAAACCAAAGGGATAATTATAGCATTATCGGTTTATCATGACTAGTTTACCAGGTATGTATATATAGTAAAAACTTGCTTCCTTTTAAAAGTTGAAACCGGATCTATGCGTCAAATTTATTCCATGTTAAATACTAACTTTGGAAATAGGTTACTATGCCAATGTTAACTACTTATAAATGATTTGCAAAGTTAGACGATAGAAAGCTCAAATGGTTTACCGATTAAAAATTTTTGCTGAACATACAACGCTATTCTTCTACTACTGTTTTGAGCAATTTCATTTCCGGAATACATCCCAAATGATAGTATTTTTATAGAGAAAAAATGAAACGAAAGGAAATATTTCGAAAAATGATTAACCATTTACATAAGTAATCCTATCTATGCTTTACGTTTCATGCTGCCACAACTATTTTACTTGCTGATTGTCGGTAAAAAATTAATTCAATATATTCCTTTAAAGTTTTCCGGAATCGACTTCCAAACGCAAAATAGATGAGAAAATTGCAAGATGAATTAAGAACTACTATCAAATTTGATAAATCGATCAGATATGCATTTATATAGCCAAATATTAATTCCAAGAAATTTACAGTTAATGGCTGGAAAAAACGGATAATTTAAAAAAACATTTCAGACATTTCAAATTACACGTACCAATTGATTAGATAGTAATCATATCATTATTTTTTATCAAAAGAAATTAACTGAGTGTGCAAAAAAATTTAACTCACTAACCTTATGGGAAAAAAAAAAAAAACTATTCATGTTGAATTATTATATCCAAAAATTTTCTGTTTCATTCGCTCATTTTAATAAATTTTTCATTTTAATAAATTTTTTTAAAGCTTACCAAAATATTACATGTAATAAAAAGGCAAACGACAACAACAAGTGTAATAATATCCGAATCACCGGAAACCGGTAATGTATTCCGTAATGCAATAATTATTGCCGAATTAAGCGCAATAAGTATCAAAACTGGACCAACAGCCATTACTGCCGTATACATCCAAGCATAATATACTGTTAAATATAACTGCAACTTTCTTTTCTTTTCTCCTATTCAGTTTTCTAATTTCAATATCCTTTTTTATCAAAATAATAGCGAAAAAAATAAGTTTCCGTTTCTCTCCCTCTTTCTCTCTCACCTCCTTTAATTTAAAATAAATAAAATGAAATAAGTTAAAATAAGAATTAGTAACGAATGAGTTAATTAAATTGAAGTTAACATCAATTAACTCGTTCTATTATACCTATCAAGGTTGCGTCTTTCTTCTCTTTGTTGCCTCAAAAAGAAGAAAAAAGCCTAACTGTGTACCTGACTTTGCCGTAGATCAGTTGGACATACATCAATACTTTTCTCAAAATATACAATATTCCAACAAGTTATAACATTAATTTCAAACATGTGCGGACTATTGTAAAGCATAGCCAACATAGAAATCATTCCAACCATCTGAAAAAAAAGAACTTTCCTAATTTTCAATTTCAATTTTTGATGCTGTTTGTTTTCTTTTAGTGCTAACTTTTAATCATAATTAGTGAATTACTAGTTAGATTGGACTAAAGAAAAATAAATTGTTAAAATGCTGCTAAGAAGTAAAAGCTAAGATAAAAGCTTGGTCAGAATTACTTCACTTTACTAATAAGTAACAATCAGTCTAACCTTAATAGCAGTTGTTGCGCTACAAAACCGTCGTTTGCAATTAGGATTCGAATAAATTAAGAGAAAGCAATCAATTGCTGATGTGACGGTCAAAAATACCGACAAAGACTGGGCAGTGAGACCGAGCGGAAATGCTATCGGTGTAATCATTGCAAAAATTTTTGATAATAGCAATGATTTGTAGCGTAAATTTTCGATAAAAAATAAAAAAAATGCGGTAAGTATGATAATTATATCAGATATTGCTAATGCACATAAATAA